AAATTATAACTGTAACATTACAGATGATGCACAAGGCCAGAAAATTGCTGAGGAGAAGACATCCTGATTTTGTGTAACTTATTTACTGTTTCAGGCAGAATATAAAAGGGCTGTGACTACAAATCAATGGCACCGGCGACTTGAGTTCCCAAATGGGGAGACCATTGTTATGCACAATCCCAAGGTAATAGATTTTGGCAGTTTTATCTCACAGGATTCATTAGGGATGAAGGAGCAAATGGATGGAAGCATAAATTGAATGCAGTTTTAATCTTGATTGATACTTGCTTTGGATATGTGTGCATTGAAGATATAAAGTTTATGGATCACTCAACTTCTGCTTACCTCAATGTGCTGCCAGGTGGTTAACAGACAATGCTTTCTGAGACCCAAGGGGAATAAGGGTTTGCATGATAAGTATTTGCACTAAGCATAACTAGCAGCAAATGGTAGGCCATTTGAATTAGTTTAACCTCATACAGTCTGTACCTAATGAAAGATAATTTAAGCTGAGAGCTTTCATGTGGAGAAGAACATTAATCTAACTATAAGGTAAATAGTTCGTTTATTTAATCTGTGAGAAGTTTTCTACTGTGGCTATTTTTAGGCTGCAAGAATATAGCAAAACAAGCTTTAAAAGTTATTCTAAATATTCTGCAAACAGTCTCATGTTATTAAAACGTGGACTTCAGCCTTGTTGAGTGGTGCTGTTATCTGTTCACTTATCACAGATGTAGTAATTAATAAATAGAACAAGCCAAGGGCCAGAATCATGGTTGCTCCTACTTGAAGCATTTAATAATGCTGGTTAAGGAATTGTGTCCAGCAAAAACCTAGAGAAGGAGCACTTAAACCACTTGGTGTCATAAATATGAGTTCAGACTACAAGTGTAAGTCCTCTAAACAGCTGTACTACTGAATTCCTCACTTCCTACTGAGGACTACTTCAAATGCTGTTGTCATTCCCTGAAAAGCACTTTTTTTTTTCTGTTTTCTCCTTGTGATACAGTTATTGTAAATCAGGTAATATTCAGTTTCCTCACATAAGGAAGAGTGGATACTGGGCACTAGGAGAGAGGAACTGGAATAATGCTTGTCTGAGGAGTTAAAGCTGTTCAGAATCCCTCAGCAGGCCCAGCTTCTCCAATAAGTGTCTACTTTTGTCTGAGTGATCTGGTTTCTGTTCACACTAATGAAGATTGTCTGTGGTTTTGGAGTCTGATTTTAGTGAAGCTGTCCCTGCTCTGGGGAATGGTCTTAGGGTTTTCAAGGGCTTTTTTGGTTATTTTTGCATATATGCTAGCTGAAGAAAAGATCTGAGTTTCAGATGCAAGGTAAAGCAATGGAAAAGTGTGTTAAACTATGCAGTGCTTTCAGAATAACAAGTCTTAAGGTTTTTTGTGTTCATAATTGATAAACTACAACAAATGTATTTGCTGCAGGTCATAGTTCAGTTCCAGCCTGCTGCCACACCAGATGAATGGGGCACTTCTCAGGATGGTCAGGCAAGACCAAGGCTGGTAAAACGTGGAATTGAGGATGACCATGATGAGATTCCTGATGGTATGTGAGCCCTGGAGGTGGGTCTGCACTGGGACCAGCTGGGTTGGGTCTGTGCAGAAGCTGGACAATATGGCAATGCACTGTTCATGCCTACAGTCTAAAGGTTGAAGTTATTCCTTAATCTAAGCTGCTTGAAAGAGATTATGTGGTTTTGGGGGTTTTTTTAATCAAAAATATCCTATGGGCTCTGTTATGTTCTGAATCATAATAGGCTTTATAGAGTTACTTGACTCTAAACTTCATTCCTTCAGTACATATTGGCACTCTGAATGTTTTATTTTCTTTTTTTACAGGAGAAATGTCCCAAATTGACCATCTGGTATTTATGGTTCATGGCATAGGTCCTGTATGTGACTTGAGGTTTAGAAGCATTGTTGAATGTGGTAAGTTTTGGCTTGTATAATGAGTAGTTGTGTTCTTAACTGTTTAAATGTGGTTCTCTGTAGCTCATAATCAGATAAGCAAGTAGTTTGTTGTTTGTTTTTTTTTTTAAAAAAAGTCCCTAATGTTAAGAAGCTCAACTTCTGGTAGAATTTTGTCATGATTATTTTCCAAAAGCAGAATCTGTGTTTTGTCAGACTTGCAGCTTTACCTGTTAATACTAGTCCTCAATATCAGACTTGCAGAGTGATTTGGGTCTTGAGATCTGTGGGGTGGTTTTTTTCCTTTTTGTTTGTTTGGGGTTTTTGCTTTTTCTTGTGTGACTGAATGTGTTGCTTTGTGTGGTTTGTGTGCAAGGAGTGGTTTTCTGTTTGCCTTTTTTTTTTTTTAAATAAATTCTAGTACAACTGAGTAAATTAAAAAAGCCCTTTCTGGTCATGGAGTGAAAATCTCATTGTGAGATAAATCAAAGCTTGCTAGAAAAGTCCATTTTAACAAAAACATGTATTTTCTTATTGTTAGAGGGGTAATACTTGAAAAGATATTTCCATCATTTGTATTCTGATTATGTGTGAAATTAGGGGGGAAGAGGGAGTATTACTTAAGTACTGCTACTATCAGACTTCCATTATTGTTTTTCTTTGCAGTGGATGATTTTCGGACTGTTTCTCTGAAGTTGCTGCAGACTCACTTTAAGAAGGGTTTGGAGGAAGGTAAAGTGAGCAGGGTGGAATTCCTTCCAGTTCACTGGCACAGTTCTCTGCATGGAGATGCAACAGGTGTAGACAGGTGAGTGTGTTGTTTAATGTTGAAAACTTCATATAAGCTGTTATTTAAGAGGTTTTGGAAAGTGGAGGAAAAGAGCAGTTCCTGTGCTCTGTAGGCTAGATGAGTAAATGTGTGACTGGGTTACAAAAGAGAGTTGCTAATTTCATTTAATGAGCATTTTGATAAGGAGCATTGGGAAAGCTGGCAAGGCATGAGGGATATTTTCTCTTGTTTATTTTCACACACACTTTTCAGGAAAGTGGCCAGTGCATGATACATAATGGTGAGTGTGTAGGGGTGGTGATGGTAAGTATGAGGTGGTGAACATGGAGATGTTTTGTCCAGTAACAGGTTGTACAATTTAGAATGGAGAGTTTTTTGTTCTTTTCCTTCCTGCAGTCTGAGTTTGACTCTGGGAGGTGTCAGGATCCTGTTTCTGAGGAAGGCATCAAGCCCTCTGTCCAGTCCTAGAGGAGCTCCTGAATTCTGTTAGGCTACCACTCCTACCCAAATATAGGTACTTTGCTTCAAAAGAAAAAAGTCCTTGGCTCAGCTGCCTAACAGAATTCAGGATTCTATGATTATAATTTTGTGTGTGGGTTCTTTTTCTCTTCCACTTCAATCTGCTCACAGAAGTTCTCTGTAACTGTGTGAGAGCAGTGTTGGAATAGAAAAGAGATTATTTCAGGCATCCCTTCAGCCTGGAGAGAAAAAAGGGAGCTGTATCTTTCTCGAATATGTACAATCAGCAGGTAGCACTAATGTATGAATATACAAGGCCAGAAGTCTGTGTTTTTTAAAAAAATGTTTTTAGAGACACTTTCTGTAGAATTTACATTGCAGTTCTAAGTGGAGTGACATTACCTGTCGCTTCAAAAGTTAACGAAGTCCTTATCTGTGTTTCTTAAAAGGCATTCAACACTTTTAATGGTTTTGTGTTACCAGGAACATAAAGAAAATCACTCTGCCGAGCATCGGGCGCCTGCGGCACTTCACCAACGAAACGCTGCTCGACATCCTGTTCTACAACAGCCCCACCTACTGCCAGACCATCGTGGATAAAGTCGGCCTGGAAATGAACCGGCTGTACGCGCTCTTCATGAGCCGCAACCCCGACTTCAAAGGAGGAGTCTCTGTGGCTGGGCACAGCCTAGGTGATTGGTTTAGGGCTCTTTGGGACAAACCAGCATTCCTTCGTTAAGCATCCAGCTCAAATGAGCTGTTAGCTGACTAACAAACACCTCCCAGGAGCTGAGTTTATCAGGCTTTGAGAGAAAATTAGTACTTCGTGCATGAGTACATTCTCCCCCTCTGTCGTTTCCTTCTTGAAGACTTAGCATCTAATTTGCATTTAAAAGCTGACAGCTTATCTGGTGTCTTGTTAGGTGGGTGATTTCTGTGTCTCAGAACCCCCACTTAGTTAAATTACACTCATTTTTTGGAAGATAGAATAAGTGTTATAATGACATATTGACATGCTGGTTTGGGCTGGAACTTTTCCTCCAGCTTGGCAAGCAGTCTCAGGTGTTTAAAGAAAGATAATTTAATCATGGCAACTACATAAAGCATGAATGGAGGTGGGGGGGAAAGGGCTTGCTTTTAGCCAAGAGTAATTATGTTCAAATTAATAGGTGGGTATTTTATTTTAATTCAGCCGTGTTTTTTGACCAATCTATTTGATGTTATTGCATATAAATCTTCCTTGAGATTTAGGGACAGGAATACCTGGCATTTTTCCCAAGTCAACTTTAATTCTTGTTTCCAGGTTCCTTAATTCTCTTTGACATATTGTCTAACCAGAAGGACTTGGCTTCATCAGTGAATTCTGGGCCCTTCTCTGCTGTTAATGGGACTGTAAAGGATGTGGCTGTTCATGATAAACAGGTAATTTGCTACTAGTCTTTCCAGCCCAATAGACCTGATATTTCCAGCAATTTTTTTCTTAATTTTTCTGAATTTATAGCTGAAACATGGTTGTGGGTTCTGATAGTACATTTGAACTTGTTCATGGAATTTGCAGTTTTGTAAATACTGTCAGTTCTCAGGAAAAACTGTTTGCATCTTGCTCAAGTTCCAACTGGGCTGGTAATGGGATTTGATCATGAACATCAGCTTTGACCCTTGTGAACATGTACCTTGGTCTTAACTGTATCTAACTGGTGGGGGAGGTGTGTAAGAGGGAAAGAATCTGTCTGTGCTCAGGGTGGAAATGGTGACCAGTTGTTTGGTGAATAAAAGGAAGTATTTTTAAGTGTCAGAAAGCTCAACAAAACTTTTGTCTCTCTTAGTGATTTTTAAATATTTCTTTTGCTGGTCTCTTATAAGAGGAGAATTTGCATCCCTCTTCACTAAAAGTGGATGTATATTTACAGAGCTTGCATGCTAATGTTTTTAAGAGAAAGGAATTCCACTTGGTTTGGCTTGCTGCACGTCGATTTTTCACTATTAGAGGATGTGATTCTGGTTCTGTGCTGTTTTGTTAAGATGACTGAAGATAGCAGTTCCTTGGGCTCCTCAATTGCCACATCTGGTGATGACCTTTGTGAGCCTGAGCTGGATGAGGATGCTGCCACTTTGCAGAAGACTCTGGAGATGCTGAGTTTGTCGGAGTATGTGAGCACGTTTGAGAAGGAGCGGATGGACATGGAGTCTCTGGTACAGCAGTGCTCACTTGGCTTCTGGGGGCTGCCCAGGGGATGGGGTTTATATCTGGGGTTTGTTGTTGTTTTGTTCTGCTTTTCCTTCGAGTTTAGTGACCATGAGACAGAGAGCAGTTGCAAAGATAAGATAATCATGCATGACTTGAAGCCTAAGTGTTAGGTGACTCTTGTCCTTTTTTCTAGGTGTGGTACATCCCCCCCAGTTTTGTTAAAGCACTTTGTTTCATGTCTTCTTAATGTTTTATATTTTCTATAGCTTTATAAAATGACTTAGCAAATTCATAAGTCATTGCCAGTAAGAAATTACATGTATTACTAGAAAAGTTATGAAGTGTGCTTTGATTGGGTGTGTTTGCTGTTTCTTTAGCTCATGTGTACAGTTGATGACCTGAAGGAAATGGGAATACCTCTTGGACCAAGAAAGAAAATAGCTAATTTTGTGAAAGACAGAGCAGCCAAGCAGGTAAATACATTTTTCAGGAATGAAATAAAACATGATCAGGCAAATGTAACTGACTTCCTTACTGTGGAGTAGCTTCTATTCTTGAACACTCTTCTTAACATCCTGGATATATTAAAGAAATTTTGACGACTGTGAAATAAACTTTTGTTGTGCCCTAACTTTGAAACTTTTCTCAAAAGGAACAGAAGAAAGCAATAGCAGAAAAGAAAGCAGTGCTGGCTGCCACACTCCAAACTCAGGAAGACACCCAGAAAGCAAAAGAGTCAGTTCCTTCTGTCTCCTCTCCAGAGGCTGGTCAGCACTCAAAGAGGAAACTCCCAGTTGGTGCATCCGTGTCTTCTGTCAACATTGACTACGAGTACTTTGAAGTAGGAACTGGCCAGGTGAGACTACATCCATTTAAATGATTTGGACAATCCTGTCCTTTTCTTTGTTTTTCTGTTTGTGTGGGTTTTTTTTTTTAAATATTTATGACTTTGGGCTACCTCCCTTGGTTGTTATACAAAAATGATGTTTACACAGAACTTCGCCCTTTGGTGGGAAGGGGGGGCTGGGAGGGTGGGTTAGATTGCTGAAAAGCAAAACTTACTATAGCAAGGTTGTCACTACAGTTGGTTTTTAATTCCAGCAGTGAGTGAGCTGTAAACACAGTTCTGTTCCAGAAGCAGAACTGTGTGAATGACAGAAGATTGAGTGACATCAGATTAAATGCCTCTGTGGCTTTACAGTTAACATGGTCGCCTCAATTGATCCATTTATGCTGTTATATTTAAGGTTTACCTCAAACTAAACTTAAAAACTTCCTTGTTTAAATATTTTTTTACTTTTTTTTTTTCCTTAAAACCCCACTTTAATATCATGGTATCAATATGCACTAGTACTATGATATTATTATGGAACAGGGCAATGCAGCTGAAGCTTCCTGGAAGTGCTGTGAGCATGTGGTTGATTTAATACAGAACTTGCTTTTTCCTTCCTGGCTAAGCATTATATGACTTAGCTGGCAGTTCTGAGAGATTCTGTGTCTGATTTCTGTCTGCCAGGTTTCTGTGGTTTACAGTGCATTGGACTTTGAACCAGATATTTTCTTTGCTCTGGGTTCTCCCATTGGTGTGTTCCTCACTGTGAGGGGGGTGGAGAAGATTGATGAAAACTACAGGCTTCCTACCTGCAAGGGATTCTTCAATATCTATCACCCAGTGAGTAAGCAGAGCTTTTGAGATCTGATTTTAGCTGATGCTGGTGACAAGAAGTGTAGAATATGAAGTTCTAACTTCTGAGCATTACATCTCTTATTCCCTTACATACAGTTCCCAAAACACAAAACCCCCCTGACCCATCTGACATATTTATTCCACATATTTGTAATCTTTACTGCAAAAGTGAAGTAGGTCTGGCTATAGGTTCCATACCTATAGGGTTGGTTTGAAAATATTTGCCTTGTTTCTTTTCAGAGCTAAGGAACTTTTTTCCCTCCATTAATTTCAAGCCACTCTTGTAGATTTTTGTGCAGTGTTTGTGTTTTTACATTCAGTACTTTTGTCCTGTGTCATCTTGTTTGACAGTTCAACAGTGACATGTTGAATAGAGATCATCAGAGTGCAAGAAAATCTTGCTGTTGTGTTTCCTCATTAGAATCTCTGTCTGTAGAACAAGACTGAAGTAGTTAATGAATCTACTTAATCTTATGATTGAACTAAACTGTCATGAACTAAGTTTCTGTAAATTCAGATAGTACAGAATTAAAAAATGGGTTTCTATTAATCATAACTAGGGATTTTTTTTCACTGAAATGTGATAATTAGAATAATTTCTAAGATAACTAAATGTCAATGTGTTGTTTCTCAACAGCTTGATCCAGTAGCTTACAGGTTAGAACCAATGATCATTGAAGACATGGATTTAAAACCAGTTCTCATTCCACATCATAAAGGCAGAAAAAGACTTCATCTGGGTAAAAAGAAAACTTATTTCATATGGATCTCATTTTTCTTATTGCCTCATTTGATGCATTAGAGTTTTATAAAATTTTAAGAGACTAATGAACATTCTTGGATATCTGACACCCTGTTTCTCCTGAACATCAGACATGATTCCACCCAGTCCCATAAGTTGGGCATTCACAATTTGATTCAGAAGTAATAATGATAATTCCTCCAGATTTGAGCTTCTCATTACCCAAGTTCCATTTAAAAATTGCTGCACATTTCTTGTTCACCTTCATTTCTAAGATGCTGTCAAACAGACACTAAATTTATTGGTTTCTCTTACCTTGCCCCTACTGACCCCCGTGATGTGTTTTACCAGTGTCTGTTCAGGATTGCAAACCTGGAGGAAAAGGTGTTTCTGCAGCCACTGGGCAGGGAGTGGATTTTGTTGCTCACAGGCACCCATCAGACCAAGGTGCTCTTGTGAAATTTTGCAAACCTAATAAGGAAAGTCAGTTTTGCTGTTCAGTTGACAAGATTTCTGCTGTAGAAGTTCACAGAGCCCTCCCTAAACATCTTCAGGCACTCAGGTGGAGCAGTTCTGCACCATCTGTACCATTAGAATGGTACTTTAGAGTGAGTCTGCTTTCCTAGACTAGACAAGATACTTGTTCAGGAATGTTCTAGTTTACAACTCTTGTATTGTAAAGAACTCTCCTTCATCCAGCATTTCCCAGCAGTGTGAATGTCAGATTGTTACTGGGGACACAATTCCTGAGCTGTAGCAGAATTACAGGCTGAGGGAGTGCTTCTCCAAATTCACTACCACTGCAAGAGACAGTGGCAGCTCTTCTGGTCTCTTCTGCTGTGCTGGAGTTTGAAATTAGTCTCTCTCTCCCCTTCCTTTTGTGTAGGGTGTGAGGAGTGATTGTGGGGGGTGATGGAGCTATTTATGTCATTTATGTGGACCCTTCTGCATTTGGAGACTATTGAACTGTTTCCTGTGCTAGTAGGTTTTAACTCATTGACCCATTCAGTGAGAAATCATTTGTGTATTAGTTGCATTTCCCTTAATCTTTTTGAATGGAATAGAGAAGCAGAAAACACATTCATGACACAGCAGGCCTGTTTCTCCTGGGAATTGAGATATTTGTTAAACAGAGTTTCATCACTCTGGTTTTAGGTTGTAATTTTAAATCCTTCTGTATTGAGATTTTTTTGTTGTTTGTTGTTTTTTAGAGCTGAAAGACTCTCTGTCTCGTATGGGCTCTGATCTGAAACAGGGCTTTATCAGCTCTTTGAAGAGTGCATGGCAGACCCTGAATGAATTTGCCCGTGCCCACACATCTTCAACTCAGCTGCAAGCAGAGCTGGAGAAAGTAGCCAACCAAATAAAAGAGGAAGAAGAAAAGCAAGTAGTAGAAGGTATGTGGACATATTATTGTTTTACCTCTAACTTATTGAGCTCAAATTAATTGAAGCTTGAGTATCCCAGTGACTGTTTGCTATTGATTTTCCTGACCCTGTTAAAGAGACCTCTCTGCTAAGCACCAGGTTCCCACCAGAGCTGCTCTGTCACTCCCCCCCTCAGCTGGAAGGGGGAGAGAAAATCCAATGAAAGGTTTGTGGGTTGAGATCAAAATAAGGAGAGGTCACTCAGCTGTTATTGTCATGGGCAGAACACACTTGACTTGAGAAAACTGCTTTAATTTGCACACTCTTTCAACTTTCTGTTAGAATGGCAGGTTTCTAAATCAGGTTTCTAAATCAGGTGTGTTTTCTTTCAGGGCAAATCAGTATGAATAAATCTTTCCATGATTTATTCTCGAGTAGTTTTCTACTGAGTTTTTTGCGAGGAGCTTAGAAGCGTTTAGGTGTGTTCTCTAACAGAATAAAAATAAGTTTAACTCAGGTGTAAATAATACCCTTAATAATAGCAAGGGCAGGATTGCCAGTTGTGAATTACCTGTCTGTGTTTGGCAGTGCTGGCTTTGTCTATTCTTAGAAAGACAAATCACTCCTCTTAGTGTGGATTGAGGATAGTGATTGACACTGTGCAGGAGAGATGTAAAAATATGTCATGTCAGGTTATTCACTCATAGAATGACTGGATCTGTGTATATATAAAACAGTGGGGTTTGTTCTGAAAATTGCTCAGCTACTGCTTTTCATGAGGCCTTTTTCAAACAAACTGTTTAAACTGTTATGAAAGAAATAAGCCTATAATTCCAGTCACCTTTCTGAATCGTGCAGTTCTGGCCAGTTCTGGTGGTTGTTATTGTCTTATCTCAATCTCTTGGACATTTTAGCAGGGGAAATGGGTGATATTTCTTGATTATAGTCAAGCAGGCTGTGCTTGGAAATAGTTTAAACCTTAAACTCTTGTCATTTTAGCTGAGAAGATCACTGAAAGTCCAGAGCCTCCAAAAGATGAAGATTCCTCAGTGAAGGTGGGAATGCTGAATGGGGGACGTCGGATTGATTATGTGCTCCAAGAGAAGCCAATAGAAAGCTTCAATGAATACCTCTTTGCTTTGCAGAGTCATTTGTGCTACTGGTAAGAGGAAATATTTGTGATTCTGTAAATATTGCTTAAGGTAACCAGTATATATGAATGTCCAGGAATGGCAGGCTCATCTGATTTCAGAATTCTGTGTGAGTGCAGGGTGCACGAATCTATCATCGTGTTTGTACCCAAGACATTGCATGCTGTTCTCTTGACCTTTGACACTCAAAACACACATTTTTGGCTACTATCATTTTCAAAACAAGGAGAGCTCTGTAAGCATTTTGACAACTGTAGTTTTTCAAATCAAACTGTTCATGAAGGAACTGTATTAGACTACAATATATAGTAAAACTTAATTACCATTTCATGTTGAAATGACATTGCTGGATGCTCTGCTATCAAATATTAACAAAAAAAAAGAAGAAGATAAAGGCACAGTGGAACTTCCTGTAAATTTGGATGGTTATGATTGACCACTTTTATGCAGTGGTTGCTTGTACACAGAAAGAAAAATTTATAGAACAAGAAGCAGAGTTTGGTGTCATCATGTGGTCAGAGCTGTAGTGCAAAATTGTTTCCCTGGATTTGGATTTATTTTTTTTAAGGTGCTTAAATATCTCAAACAGAGAAAGATATCATTCCACTTATACAAATAGTGCAACTCCTGACCTGTTGCATTAGCCCTGATGAGTTGCTCTCTTTTTTTGGTGTGCCATTGCATACATTTTCTTACTGTCATAAAATCAGGTGCACGTGAAAATCCACAAGGTGTGGAAAGGCAGAGCACAAGACCAGCACACTTGGAGGTCAGCTGTGAGCTGAGCAGAGCAGTGCTGGGGAGGGAGGAGTGACTGCTCTCTTGTTTTGAGTTTAGCAGGTGCTGGACAAATAGTGCTCTACGTTCCTTTTGAAGGGTTGGTTTTCACTAGCTGATAATTTTAGAAGCAGGCGTTTTCCCCGAGGTTAAAATGTGGCATTGAAGCGTTTCCTGAAGGATCTTTATATTCAAGCCAATATCACTCACCCTCAAAGCTCGGGAGCTGCCCGGGAAGGGATTCTGGAGGCTGCTGTGAGCGCTGAGCTCTGCCCAGACGCCCCAGTGGTGGCAGTGCCGTTCCACACGCTGGTTAAAGGCTGGAGAATTCTTTGCCACGGGGTGGCAGCCGCTCACTGCCAGCTCTTTAAAAACTTGCTGCACTTAGCTGGGGTTTGTCATTCGATTAGGGGAGATAAGCCCGGTGAATAATGACCCAAATGAGAGAGCTCTTTTTTGGGGAATGGTGAGAAAAGCCTTAAATGAAATGCTGGGCGCGTTAAGAGGGAGCAGAGCTCCTGTGCCTGATTGTGGAAAATATTTGTAGTCCCTTAACTTGCACGTTTAACTCAGTACTGATGTTCTGTAAATTATGTTCCTCACACTTGGAGGATCACAGTCCTGAGCACCTTAATCTCCTTTGATGTCTCCCTCTGTCACTTATTTTAAAAAGCACAGGAAGCTGCCCTCATCTAACTCCCACAGCTTTGAAACTTTGTTAAAATTTAGGTGTTTAACTTTTTTATTTTTACAGTGCTCGTTTCATTTTTATGTTGATGGTGTTTATATGTGTTTAAATAGCATTTTACAGATGAATCAGAAAATTAAGTCTATTCATGTCAAATTTAAATTAAGATAGCCTGAAGGTTTGATTTTTGAAAATAAGAGGCAAAACAGCCTCTTGGGAGCATGGCACTTGAATTATATTAAACTTTAAATTATTTGAGAACTATCTTACATTTTAATGGCAAGGAAGGGAGGAAGAAAGTCTGGACAAGTAGAATGTATTCTTTTTAGAGAGCTGAGATAGCATGGAATGACTTCAAGAATTAGAACATGGACCATATTGAACTAACTTTTAATTTTTTTTTCATTCTTCCCAGGGGTTCTGAAGACACTGCCTTGCTGTTCCTCAAAGAGATATACAGGACTATGAATATCAATCCTGAGCAGCCACAGCATTGATGTCTAGAAACAGGAATTTGTAAGTTTGCTCCAGTATAACTTATGGACTCATATCAAATTCAGCTGCAGCTTAGATGTCTTTACTTTCCCTTTTTCCTCTGAAGTTTAAATTACAAGGCAGGCAGCCATAAAATGTCATTTTGATTGCAAAAACAATTTCTAGACTTGAATGCAGGGGTTGTCTTCGAGTTCTTTCCCTCTTCATTCCCAAAAGATATCTGATGTTGGTAGTTTTGGTCTGGGATAATAACCATCAGTACTAACATGACCAAAGCATGATTTCTCTTTATCATGCTTCTCCCTCAGTTCATTTGTTCAGTGAATGTTCCAAACCAGGAAAACTTGGAAAACTTGGATCTGTTGAAACTTCATTTACAGTGCAGTAGATTAAAGAACACCAACAGTGTTTCCACTTCTTTAATGTCCATATTGTTGACCAGTGGGGCACGTGTATGACAGCAAAAAAGCTGCTTGTCTCCCAAGAAAGTGTTAAACACTGATATTGATAAATTACTGAAGTATTTTTATTTTATTATCTTTGTATAGATTAAGGATTTCAGTAGAACAAGGGAAATGACACAGCATGGAAGTTGGTTCACTTTGAAAAGAAATTAATACACAGTATGATTGAGTATCTGAGATAGAAATATTCTTGCAGGTATTTTTATTTTAAGATATGTGTTTCCTAACTGAGGATCTGTATTGTACCAGTTTGGATCACTAGATGTTGTAGAAAAGAATATACTCTCTTTTGAGAGGCAAGGAGGAAATAATGTGCACCTTGCCTTTTTGGAAGGCAAGGAATCATACAAAAAGAGAGTTTCTGATGTATTTCTCCATTTTCAGAAGAACTGATAATGCCAAGCTACATAAATACCCAGCATGAAGAGAAATACTTGACATTTCAGAGGACTATTTGAGGCATCTTTCACTGCTACCATACAGTTTTAGTAGTCTTTTGTAACAGAGTGCTTCTGATGGTCAGTTGATAGCATCTTTTTTTAAAATGAAATGTCAGGGCTGATCAAATGCATTTTTTAAAGCACAGGCAAGTGAAGGAAAAGGCCCCATTTGGCTGCACACTGTGCCAGTGGTGTGTCAGCTCTCACACTGGCTTAGGCAGTGTCTCAAGGCAGAATTGCAAAATTTTTTCTCTCCTTCTCTTTCTTTATGACCACTTTGGTTGAAATCATATGGAGCTTATTGTGAAGGAAAGGCCTTTAAGTGCCTTTGCAGGAGGGGAAGGGAACGTGGTGATTTATCTCTACAAAGTAGTTTGTTGCTCAGCTTCAGCAGGCTCTGGCATAATTGTGTTTTATCACTGAGAACTGCACAGCTGGAGGAGGGTTTAGCAGGATGTCACACAACAAAGCACAGCCAGGGAAGTCTGTAATTCCATTAGGAGTTGCTCAGAAGGCCCCTCAGCACTTGGTTGACTGAGCAGTGTTTGAGGCTGGGACTCAGATAGCAGAGGTTTAAGTGGGAGGGCAGTAGGGCCCACTGGAGACACTACATGACAAGAGGTGTCCTGGGAATGCTGCACACTGGGAGACCAGGATCTTTTCCACAGGAGAAGTGTCTTTCCATACACTGTGTAAAATATTATCACATAAATCTCGAAGTACTGAAGTGGAAAATTCTCCCCCAGTGTTAGTCAGGTAGGGTTGGCATTGGTTTTTTTCTCTTTTCTGTTCTTTTAAGACTTTCAAAGGTGAAGGTAATGGATTATCCAGCAGTGCCTATGACAGCAGCATCCATTTCCCTACACAGGAGCAGAATATCTGAAGAAACAGCCCCTCTATTTATGGGCTGCTCAAGGGGAAGAGTAAATGCCAGAGGAGCTCTGGGCTCCCTCATCATATTTTCATATTAATTGACTGGAGTGCTGAGACCTGACCACTTCCCTGCCTTTACGTGCAGAGCTGCCTCTTGCTGTCCAGTTTGATTTCCTGGCTGCTGGTGCAGATCCCTTTAACTTCTTGGGGACTGTGGCAATTTTGGAGCAGATAAAAAATGAGCAGAGGCAGGCTAAGGGAGGAGCTGGATGTTTGGTTTTGTCTCTGTTTTGTTTCTGAGACAGGGATGGAGTTGGCCCTTTCTGGGGGTTGTTACCTTCTGAGTTTGACTTTTATTTTGTATCAGTGACTTGATTTAGCTCTTCTAGATCATCCTGGAGCTGGTCTGTGTGAAACAGTAATACAGTGTTTCCTGTAAACAGTGTATTAAAGCTTGGATGTGTAAATTATCACATCGGGGTTTTGTCTCTATTTAGAGTAGGATAGTTTATTACCATAAGTTAAAGAATCTAATAGCCAATTAAAATGCACAGTGAATGACATCCTATTAGCAGCTGTTGTGAGCTTTTTCTGTTTGTAATTGTAATTGCCAATTTGTGTCCACAGAAAGTATATTTCAGAGGCTTATTACATTAAAAATTTGATTAAAAACGTGTATGGATTTTTAGATCTTTTTGAGCCCTCTTGAAATGGAATGTTGGCATGTTTAATTTTATTAGTACTGCTACAGGAATAGAAAACTTGATATATTTCATATTTCCAATATGTTCATGTTCTGTTTTCTCTGCACAGCCACACCTGTTGCTCCCACAGACCTGGTGAAAAACTCTTTGGAAAACATCTGGTATTTTCATATTTACACATGACAGGATAAGCATCAGACTTCTTTTTTTCTGCCAGTGCAGAACTTGCTCTGATTCTACCTTCTTGTGTCACTTCAAGCAAACTTAAATTCCGAGGTGCTCAGCACTGTCCATCAGGAGATGGATGGAATGACACAGTTCTGATCCTAAATCAGTTTAATTGTACAGTTGCCAAGTATAAGGTGATCAGTGAAGAAGTTTATTTTGGCATGCAAATCATTACTTCTCCTTCAGCTCTCCTGTCTCAGCTGGCTGTCAGACATGCTCTGCCTACTAAGGCAGCTTGTCCTCATTAAAAAGGACTTGGTGGAACAGCAATAATCTGTTTTTCTTGACATGTTCGTTCGTCCACCTTCAAACTATAAAATGTGAGCTGTAGTTATAACCATCTTTATTACAGATTACACAATCCAGTTCATATTTACTAACAATTAGCAACCAGAATCATTTTCTTACTATTGTAAGTGTGATGGAGATTATTTTATAAAGACCTTTTTAAGCCTCTGTTAAGAGTTTTACTGTTGCTTTTTTTTTTTATAAGTAAAAATGAACTTTTGACTTTGAAAATGTTAGAAGTTTGTTACAACTAGTTCAGTGTTCACATATCCTGAAATGAAGAACAATTTAAAATAACATTTTGATCTGGTAATTACAGAATTAGAGACTGTTCTGAGTTAATTAAGGCAATTTTAGTGAAACCAGACTGCAGTTGGGAGAATTAAAATACTTACCTTGATCTTGCAGTCCCACATCTCAAGACAGTCAATGTAAATAGGATCCTGAAGCTTAGGGGTGCTGGATAATAATCTGGATCCAGACCTGCAATCCAGGCTCCATTTTTTGTACCAAAGTTGAAATGAATTGGGTGGTGTGAAATCCTTGGAATTCATGTCTCGGAATACTGAGCTGCTGTACCTTTCCTTGGGCTCCAAGTTACATACACATTGTGGCTTTTCTTAATATTGGTGATTTAACCTTACTACTGACTCTTTGCCTCTGTTATTGCAGTAAATGAATTCTGAAATGCAGTATGTTTATTTTTCTTTCCTTGATATATGTAAAATACACATTATTGTGTATATAATTGGATGGCTGTAATTAAAAATACCTTACTTCCAGTGGAGTTTACAACAAGGTTTTGTATTTCTTCACAGAAAATAGGTTGGAAGAGACCTCTGGAGAGGTTGCTTAGTCCAACTTCCCTGCTCAGGGCAGGAGGGCTCAGGGCCTGGTTCAAGGCTGGAGATCCTTTGCTTCTCTGGGTCCTATTTTAAACTTTGCTTTGGTTGCAAATTTTTCTTCTAATATAGAGTCAAATTTCCCAGGTGGAGGTTGTATCTGTTGCCTCTTGTCCTTTCTCTTTGCATCTTCAAGAGTCAAGTCTCTGTCTTCCCTTGTGCTCTCCTGATTTTCCTGTTTGGCTTCTCCAGCCCAAGCACTTTCCATGGCATCTCCTGCCTGCCATACACTGTGACCCTCTGGGCATCTTGGACTTGCTTCAGTTTATCAAAGTTCAACTTCTTCTGGGAAGCAAGTTTGCCAAAGGAAGCTTTTTATCCAAAATATCAAATATATTTGTAAAATTAACCTCTGAAGATAAAGTTTAAGTTTTACAATCTGTTTTGTTAGTTAGAATACAAAATATATACATACATATATATATATATGTATGTATGTAAACAACAAAAACTCCACAACCACTGGCCTTATTTTCCTCTGAAGTATCATAGAGTGGAAGGTTATACACTTGTATTTATCAACCTTGTGCAACACTGAATAACCTGAGTCTCCTTAAACAGCATTTTTTGAGGAGCTGCTGGGCTGTGAAGGATCCCCTGGGAGGGAACAGCAGCACCAAGGAACAGTAACATTTTATGAGGTGTCAGAAGTGCTGTTGCTTGGTGCACAGGAGGATGTTGCAGGTGAATGAGGACCATCTGGAGTGGAGGGATTGTTTTGGGAATATAGCATAAAAATCAGTTCTGGTTATACAAACAAAAAATTGCCTGCAGCTACAGTAACTAATCAGTGTTACATCTTAAAAGCATGGGGAAGTTCAGACATAAAGGAAGGAAAAATTACAGTGTAACCTGTAATTATATAAACCACAAGAAAAATAAATGGAATTTATAGAGTGATTTTATATCTGTTATAGATTAATATATTACTTCCTCAGCAGAAATCATGCCAGTGTGCTGCAATAAAGTATTAGGCAGGCCCTATACAGCACAGCTTCCAATATGTGCTGCCCCAGGCTTGCTGGCTTTTTATTTATTTTGGTAGGTACTGTGATGCACAGTTAAGCAGATAATGCTAATTAAACTTTAATTGGTCAATCCATAAACAAAAATTAAAAGTTTTCCCTGTCATATTTTCATCTGTGCTGAAGTGATTGTAAATGTTTAAAAAAAGCAGAGCTCTGCAGTGCTGAAACCATCCCTGGGACTGATCACACCCAGCACAGTGCAAAGACACTGCCAGTTGCTCATAGAACTTGTGAGTAATTCTTGGTGCAAAGGAGGACATTAATCACACCCTGTGTTGCTCTGTAGCTTTCCTAAAGACATTTTCTCTGCCTTCCTGCTCCTGAACACCTGCAGTGATGTTTGGGAATGGGGTTATCCTCACAGGCTACAGCTGCTGTAGGAGGACCTCCACCCACAGAAACCAGCTCAGCTGGGGCCCTGATGAGCTGCTCTGATGCCACCTTTGTCCTGGGGCTGGTGCTCTGGTCCCTTCATTTCAGCAGCAGAGGTTGGCTGAGCTACTTAGATCAATATTCTTACAATTATCACATTCCTGCCAAGTGTTCTTTGGAGGATCCTCTGAGCAAGGTGCCTTCTCCCTGCGCTGCTCTGGCACAGCCCCACTTCCACTTCTGAAATGGGAGAGAGTCTCTGTGCCCTGATATGTGTCTGAAGACATTTATGAAGATCTGAAGACTTCTGACAACATAAGGTGCTTTGTTTGGTGAAGGTGTCAGGAAGTAAGTGGCTTTACACCCCTTCTGTGAGGAGAGGGGACTCCTCCCAAGGAGTGACACTTGTGTGAGGTGTGTCACTCCTGTGGGGGTCCTGCTGTGTGGAATGGTGTGGAATGCTGCCATGTAAGCAGGTATGTAACATTGTGTTCATCTTATTTTGTATCTACACATCTGGTAAAATGCAAATTTTTTGAAAAGAAGTTCACTGAAGGATGAAAGTTCTCAGACTGTGTCTTTTCCATAAGCACTTAATCCTCAGGGCATTACAAGAGAGAACATGTGCAGGAACCAAAGGTTACTGGTGCAGTCCCCAAAGCCACAGAAGTAGTGAAGGGCACAAAGTACACTGTGTAGGATAAATTGGAAATGGAAAAACAACTCAGGAAAATGAAAAATTAATCACTTTGCAGTGAAGGGTCCCACCTCTCTGGATGCTCCTTTCAGACCCTGGTACAGCCCAGTTTTGCATTGAGGCCTCGTGTGGAAAATTAATCTTCAGGTGGAAGTTTTTATGAATGAATTCCAAGGAAATAATCAGAGCCTCCCTAAGAAATCCAGCACCTTCCCAAAAGATTCCCATTTGGATGAAATGAAATCTTTCATTGAAAACTTTTTTTCTTTTGGAAAACTTTCTATCCCCTGCTCCTCTCCTGCTGTTCCAGGAGCCGTTGCTTCCATCAGTAGGAATGTTTCCTCTGGGAACACCTCCTCACACATCTGTTCATAGAAGTAGCACACTCAAATAATTTCTCCTTGTGCTGGGAGATGCCTGGCATAACACAGAAAATTCCCAGTAACTGTGCTAGAGCTGTCCTGGTCCTTTCCCAAAGAATGTTATATTAATATTGATAACTTTGGTCTGCAATAGGACAAACGTGTTACAAACTCTGTCTAAAATGGTATTTCCATAATAATATTCTCCCTGATTTCTTTCTGCAGGTGATTTTTTTTTTCTTGGGATGAATAGTAAGATCTGGGATTTCATTTTTCCTAAAACATGCTCAGTTGGTGCCAGTGCCAGGGTGCTCCTTGGTGGAGGCTGGATGTTCAAATATAAGAGGAGGGGGTGGTAGAGAAGCAGCCCTTTGCAGAGCTGCATTTCTCTGACCAAGCTGAGTATTACTGGACTATTATTTTTAATCATCCCTTTGAATTAGGATGTGTTAGAATAAGAAGAATTCTTGTTTAAAAATAGGAAATATCATTTCATGTGCCTGTTCTCATTTCCTGGTGTTTAACTGAAATGGTGAAAATCGTTGGCAGCTGCTTTGATTTAATAGGAGCAGTTTGTTGTACAAAACCATAAGCTTGGCTTTAGATTTCTACCTGATTTTCATAACTGTAAATCAGGATTAACTTCCCCAAGGCTGATGGAACCACTCCAGTGTAAATACAGTTACAAACAGGCTTGCTGGGACTCAATTCTCCAGCCTGTCGAGGTCCTGACTGGCAGCACAACCATCACCCAGCACTCCCATCATCTGCACTTTTAGGGTTTATTCCTAACTCTAAAACAACCTGTGGACAGAAAAGCACAAACTGCTGTGCCCTTTGTGGCAGAACCCAAAGTCCTAAGGATTTGCCTCATTTCTGCAGTGGAAATGTTTAGTGACCTGAGCAGAGGTGACCAGGGTTTGCTCACAGTGCTCAGCTGAGCTGTTTGGAGGGTACAAGGACTTCATAGAATGCACTCTGCTGAAGGTGAAATGCAGCTCTCCAACATGCACCAGGAATGGTGCTTTCAGCTCAATGGCTCTTAAAATGTGGGACTCTCCAGGCTTCCTTTACATATGGAGGCTGTAAAAGGAACTCCTTTTATATATCGATAAAATAGCTTCAGATCTGTATAAATTTAGGCAATCAAAAGTGAAGTGTGTCTATTTAAGAGATGGCAATAGAGGACCAAGGCCTGAGGGGAGAAGAAACCCAACAGTTGACCCTGTGTCTCACCTTCTGCCAAAAAAGTGTTCAAATAACTGTTAAGGTAATCTTGTTAAAATGGCCCCATGAATACACCTGAAGCAATATTTATGCCTGAGACTACTCTGAGTGCATGAGTAGGGGAAGAGTTTCTTCACAAACCAGAAGTAGCTCACTTGAGTGTAATCTGAAGTCAAGTTTTCCTAAGCCAAGGCTTGTTATGGGTTTTGTGAAACATTCAGTTATTCATCTGTTTGTAGCTGAGAGGACTCAGGGTGTTCTCTGCATTGCAGGATGTTCAGATATGATTGTCCTTTCCCTGGTTTTTCTGTCTGCACAAGGGACTAAGAAAATGCAGCTCTGAATATCTAAATAATGAGCTCCAGCAGCCTCCAGGGAGGGTCTGAAGTGGTGTGGGAGGGAGCAATGGAAGGGATCCGGGGGAGAGACAGAGCTCAGGTTTCTGCCAATACAAAGTAGCCACCGCAGGGAAAGGGGAGCTCAGCTACTCATGACAAATCATTGCTGTCTACTTTTTTTCCCCTTGGCTTCTCAGTGGAAGCTGCACATGGAGAAAATACTGACAGTGCTGCTGAGTGAAAAACAGGAGCTGGACCTGGGGAGTAGAAACAAATCACCTCCAAAACTCTTTCATGAAGGTGGCAGCATTTCTGCAAAATACCTTGGCTAAACGATTTGTTAAAAGATCATTTTTTTTTATTTTTGCAGAGATGAACTTTGTTAATAAATAAGATTGGTTTTGCTTTGCAGACCACCCTTTGTACAAATATATGTGGTTTTAGCCACTGGGAGCTCCTTCACTGATGGGATCGTGTTAGAGGTTTATTGACTGAGGTGTAGTGACAGCTCATATTGAAGGATCTGTGAAATCCTGTCAGGAGATAACACACTCAGAAAGCAGTGGTGTCTGACAATAGGATAAAAAGAGCTCTTAACAAAAGCTACAAACTGAACTGAGTGACCACAGGACTAACAGTTAGGTATAAATGCATATGTACATATTACATGTGTGTGCAACAAGGCACCTGTTTGACAAGTCCTGGTTTTGAGGGCAGGAGAGGCATCTCTCCCAAAACACTGATGCTTGATTTGCAAAGAGGCCAA